TTGAAGAACCAGAGCCAGTTTCCAATATGGTGTCTGCTGTCGTTAAGTGGATACATCATGTAACAGCACCACGTACAACCTCATGGTAGCTTTGAAACGATCCACATTCCTCTCTTACCAACCACCATCCGCATTCCGTCCCACCACCATCGCCGCGACGCTGTGATATGACGTGAAAGCAAGGGAAGCAATGTTTTGTCCAAGAATATTTTTCCCTCCAGTGACAACATTGACATTTATCAATCCCATCAATAGCTCTGGTATATTGTTGCATGCTTCAGGAAAACGTGTATGAAAGCAAACGAACGCTGTAAGAAAAATTTCAAGACCTTTTTCTAGAGTTAACACAGCTTGCAGTATGCAACTTTAAATTTTTAACGAATGCTGTATTGACGTCATATGTCGAGGTGAATTTGTTCACACAGATCCACATGCAGATAAAAGTATCGGAATAATGAACAAATCAGACAGAACAAAAGCCATTGTTAAAAATAGGTTGCAGAATAGCAACAATCGCAGTAAGGAAACCCGTAATGTGTTAGTGCCCTGTAGCCGTGGTCGCAAATTGCATATATTTCCAGGCATAAATAAGCAAACTCAATGCCACCACTTCTTTTCAGTTTCGACAACTGTTGCGCTTTAAGTACACCAGCAACTGCTGGCTGTGCTGACAAGCGGGTGAAGCTAAGGAAATGGAAGGCTTACAGCTTCCCATACATTTAATTAATCATGGATATTGGTTATGATTTGTGAGGAATGGTTTTGTGTAAACCGAATAAGGTTAAGTGCACCTCACTTTCACAATAGCAGCCAAGTGCAGCGCATAGCCGTATTTATCTGAAGGACCCGCCTAACTGCTGCTCAATGCAATCACGCTATGGTTGAGAAAATTTGGGTTGATTTTCTTGATTTTTCTGCGAGACGTTTTCTTCAAGCCGCTTGTGCAGCCTGGTTTAGTGGTGCGTAATGTCTGTCATGGGTTTTCTGTCACTAGTTGTTTCATGATTGTGTGTTTGTTGGTACACTCTGATTTGGGGATTATTTTTCATTTATAAATTCAGCATGTCAGGAATAGTAAAAATACCTTATCTATCCGTTTATATTTTTTACCCGCAAAAATTCGCCAAGTCTGGTCCATAACCCAGCCAAAGGCCCGCGGGTTCTTGCGGGTCAGAAATTGGCGGGTTGGCGGGATGAAAGGCTGCGTCTCTATTCCCGAACCAGGAACCAGGAGGCGGTTTCCGGCAAAAAATATTGGGAACCAGACACATGCTTAGTATGGACTGGTTCATGCTGCGTCCCACTGGAACAAATAGCGCAGTGGACCGTGCATTATTGAAAGCAGACACTGTTCAGAAAGACTCCTACCGGGGCCAGCTAGCATTGCATGCCCGACCCACTGTCTTTAACGTTTGTTTTGTCGGCTGATTTGCACTAGTCACAGTTGCAAGTCACTGTTTTTAAATCAATTGAACAGCCTGCTCGGAGCAGTTTTCCAGATCGACGGCTTAGAATGGGGGAAAAATTGCACTTTGCAACACCTGATTTCCACTTTCATTCGCTACAAAACAGCCGTGAAATTTGCATACGCCAACTGTCATCTCGACTCACTGGTGCGCGACGCTGTGCTGTGAATAATGCACCATAATGCTTGTGGACAGTGGCGCAGGTAGGGGGGGGGGGGGGGGGCACAGAGGGCATGTTCTCCTATCCGTTAGGTTTCGTTACCGATTAGTAAGGGCCCGAAGGACCCAAAAGCCGACCAGAGAACGCATTCACGGGTCCGGCTTGCAGGACCGGAAACTCCAATGCCAGGCAGAGGGCCCTTTGCGCCAAGGGCCCCTTGTTCCGGGGCGCCTGAATAGATAAGGGACTATGTTTCGGTCAGACACCACCATCATGACACAGTCCGCTCTGTTTCGGTATGGGCCTTAGGGCCCATTTTCAAAGAAGGGACAAAGCCGAGACTAGCCATTTATATTGGTCGGGACCCCTTCGTCTGTTAGAGCCCAAAACGTCCAATCGGAAGCACTGTGTTGATAATTGGTCCCCAGTCGGGGGTCTGCAGGGTTGAGTCCTTAAATGGCAGTGAACGGACCCTTTGCGCCGATCGAGGACCCCCTGAGTCTATAAGGGCCTTTATGTCGCCCCGCCCGTAGAACCATGGCCTCAGATGTAAGGCAAAGGGCCTCTTGCATCGTTTGAGGGCCCTGGGACATTTCGGGTCTCCACAGTATGGTGACACTAAGCAGTCGGTTCCGTGTCACTCTAAGCCGTAGGGTCAATTTCCCAAGCACGTGTAAGGCCGTGCCCGCGATTTGCATTGTCATGGCCATTGAAACAATGAGGGTGCCGGCTAGGGGCCCACATTGCCTAACAGGGGCTCCTGCGTCAGGAAGCGGCCTCGAGTCGGCCAGGAACCGTGCTTGAGGGGGCCCGAAAGGGAGTCCGAAGGATCTCTCGATACAAAAGATCGGGGGCTTATTGGAAGGCTGAAGGGTCGAAGGGCTTGCTGTGGGTCATAGTGAGGACCCACGCCAGTGGTTTCGTGATCTCAAATGGCATTTGGAGGGCCTTTTGCGCCATTTGGGGACCCCTGAGGCAGTGCGTTTCTCTATTCCGGAAAGAGATCACCAACATAGAACAGTCAGCTCCGGGTCGGTCTGAGTTTTGGAGGTTTATTTTCGAAGCAAAGACAAGGTCGGATCCGCAATTTGCATTGAACGGAGCGCCTACAACAATGTGGGGCCTCTGTGTTGGTCAGGGGCCCAAAGTTCTCAGTAAGGTGCCCTGTGTCAACAAGAGGCCTCGGGTCGGTCAGGGAAACATTTACTGAACGGGGAGGGGGATTGAACCCTGAATGCCAGAGGGCCTCTAGCGTTGTTCGGGGCTCTCTGAAAATTAAAGGAATCACGATAACTTATCATTCGAGTTGACATTCAGACCATGAAAGAGCCCTGTGTCATTCAGTGTCTCCAGTACCGAACGGTGGACCCTCCAGCCCAATTCCAGCCGTGGGTCCGTTAAGCCGAACTCTATCCGTGTGCCCGGTTTTGGATCAACCGTACGGCGACCAGGGATCTTTTGCGTCATTGAGGGTTCCTGCATCGATCACGGACCAATTGCGCGGGTCAGCAGGCGTCCTGCGTCAGAGAGGGGGCTAATGTGATGTGATGTGTAGCTCCAAGGGCGTCCAGATCGACAAGGAGATCTCGCCCCGCGTCGCCAGAATGGCGGCCTGAAGGTACCCAGCGCTGGCACGAAGTAACTCTTTAGCCCTTCATCGGAAGCGATAATGTGTCCCCTAGTGTTATGCTCAGTAGGACCCCTTGCCTCCGGGAACGATGCTTTACCTTCCCCGGGAGTGATAATGTGTCCTCTAGTGTTCTGCTCAATAGGGTACCTTGCCGCCGGGAAAAGTAAAGGGTCTCATTAATGTTGAATAGATTGAGTCGAAATGAGTTCAAAAATGAACAAAGCTGACCCGTATTCACTTGCAAACGTTCAGTGTTTTTTCACAATGTACTAGTGAAACAAATTGCATACAATTTTTTAGCCTGCGTGCTCTCAATCTCAGGAGTGATCAGCACTGTAGCCACAGGAGCGTAGTGTCACAAAATGAGTTGGGGGGGGGGGGGGGGCTGAACAGGGAAAAATGATCCAACCTACCCCAAAATCAGCTAACAAACAGGTCTTTCTGCAAATTTGGCCCGCAATCCTTCCCAAAGTTGGGGGAGGGGGCTGAAGTCCAGGTTGGGGGATTCAGCCCCCACAACGGAATAGGAAACTACACCCATGCTCCGTAAAACCGAACAGAGTAGCACAGCAACAAGGATCCTATCTTTACTTTTTCAGCTCCACCACCACATTTCAGCATTATTTCGCAGTGCTGTAAACGTTAATCTGCTCTTACTAACAATCCTAAAGCGACACAGGTGAAATGTACGTCCACAATGCCTTCTCAAATGTTCGAAATGATGTCCTAAAGCATTCAGAGGCACTCCTTTCAAATGCGTCTCCATTTCCGTCCGCCCGTTCACCGCCCTTTGTTGTCAGCTGCTAGTCCAACGCCGCGTGGCCGGTGGAGGCTGCAACGCTGTGTTTGTTAGTTTTTGCTGTTAAGAGTTGCAAGTGTGTTTGTTAAAACTGCGTTACATAATTTTTCTCGGTAAGCGATGCTGGCTTAATGTTGAAAATTTCAACACAATCATTAGTTGGCAATGTCAACACCATTTTTGACCCATTTCTATATTCGATCTACATTAACCAGGTTATCAATATCTTCGCAGTAGCCTCTTCAGAATTCTGGGAAAGCTTCTTAGCTCCATCCAAATTTCCATGATGCCATTTAACGCCTGTTTTTTTCAATCTATTCACTTCAAAATGCAAATACTTCTAGTTTCTGTTCCAGTGTAAGAAGGTAAAAGTCATAACAAATAAAAGAAAACCGTACCCCGCGTTCACAAATGGGTCATATCCGGTGATTTTTAGGGGGGCTTTCACTATGAGGGGCCATTTGTCATTTGTCAGCCCTGTGCCCCCCCCCCCCCCCTCTTTGCCAAGGCTTTAGCTCCGCCGCTACTTGTCAGTGCACCAGGTCTTCTCTAGTGTTGAAGCAAAAACTGTGCATGGGTATATGTTTCGGCAGCGAACGGCAGCAACAAAAAAAAAAAACAATAAGGAGAACGTGGATGGGGAGGTAACACCGCAACTTTTTGGCACCTGAAAATGTTGTGTACAGGCTTAACCCCCCCTCCCCCCCCCTAGTCAGACGTCATTCAGCTCAGCCATGTTTTGCCACTCTAACCCGTGTTTGGTCCAGCCATTACGGCAACGGCGACAGTCTGCCACCCACCCGCTCCAATGTGACACTCCGTTTGGGGCTCTGAGGGGAACACGGTCGCCGTGCTTTACGCCGCGGCAGTTCTGGACTTGGAGACCGTCCCACACCCGCCGCGCTCCGCTCCAGACCGTTCCAAACTCGCTGCGTTCCGTTCCAGACTCTGAGGAGGACACGGCCTCAGTGGCGGCCGACTCCCAGTCAGGCTCGGCCAGCAAGAAGTCGAGGAAGGCACGCACTGCCTTCACCGATCACCAGCTGCAGACACTGGAGAAGAGCTTCGAGCGGCAAAAGTACCTGAGCGTGCAGGACCGGATGGAGCTGGCGGCCAAGCTGAACCTCACCGACACCCAGGTCAAGACCTGGTACCAGAACAGGAGGTGAGTAGGGAGGCATCAGGACATATAACCAATACCGAAGTCAAGATCTTGCACCAGAGGAGTCTATGAGTGACTGTGGCCACAACCAGATCATAAACCAGACGCAAGCTGGTGGCGTCACAGTCGCAGGCCGACCAGCTTAGGCTCCTTGCACTGCGGGGGAGGGACAAGGGAAGCTGATTGCCGACTCTTTGACAAGCGGCCATTTTCTGAGCTGAGCTATTGTTCACCTGGGTTTGTGTGTGGGTTGACAAGACTGACACTATCTAACAGGGGAAAGAGGGGAAAAGGGAAAGAAAAGCAGGCAGGAAGTAAGAAAGACTGGACGGGCGCACGGACGGACGGACGGACGAAAGGCAGGAAGGTTAGAATGGCAGAAGGATATTTGACCCACATTTACTTAAAATGTATTTGCTGAGTTTATGGCACAGCCCATTTACAAATTGTGTTACATAACCCAGTTATAATATCATTCCAAAGCGCCTCGCAATGTTTCCGCTTCGAGGAAAAGAAACACAAGGCCAAGGATGGACGATATATATATATATATATATATATATATATATATATATATATATATATATATATGTGTGTGTGTGTGTGTGTGTGTGTGTGTGTGTGTGTGTGTGTGTGTGTGTGTGTGTGTGTGTGTTGGTTAATTAGGAGCACCAGGCAGAGTGCAATTGATTTTTGGTAATTTGTTCAGTCAACTCGGTCGAGTCAAGTCAAGCCATGGACTGAGAGCATGGTCTACATTTTTACCCTTTGTTCGACTCGCATGCGTCTCGTCGCAACCTTAAGCTTGAGATGTCTGCACGGTCTAAGCAAATGTCTGGGCTACAATGCACGAGCATCTCAAAAGTGTCAAACCCATAGCTGCACAAGCATCCAATCGGAAATTGGGCGTCGCTTTCTCTGAAACTGGTCTCGAGCAGGAGACGCTGTGCTCTGAGCCAGGAGACGCTGTGCTCTGAGCCAGGAGACGCTGTGCTCTGAGCCAGGGGAGGCTGTGCTCTGAGCCAGGAGACGCTGTGCTCTGAGCCAGGAGATGCTGTGCTCTGAGCCAGGAGACGCTGTGCTCTGAGCCAGGAGACGCTGTGCTCTGAGCCAGGAGAGGCTGTGCTCTGAGCCAGGAGACGCTGGGCTCTGAGCCAGGAGAGGCTGTGCTCTGAGCCAGGAGACGCTGTGCTCTGAGCCAGGAGACGCTGTGCTCTGAGCCAGGAGACGCTGTGCTCTGAGCCAGGAGAGGCTGGGCCGTGAAACCTGCACGGGCGTGCAGTCTTGACATTGTCGCAAAAGCACACCCATAATGGCTGGGTGGTGTCGTTCAGATTAGCCTCAAACCTGAAATCATTTCATTGTTTTCGTCAGCTGAAATTGCGGACCACTGATGAAGCCATTCTATGTGATGTTGAAGGATCCAGAGGTCGTGTGGATCTGACACGTTGTCCCGGATTTCATGGATCTGTATAGTGTCTGTGCAGGGTATAGTTGTTTACTGGCATCACGTTGGAATGACTGAGCACGGTTTTGAATGCTATCTCAAGCACCATCCACCACACACCTTTTGGACCCTGTTGCCGTACCTGCGGACTAAGGCACGTGCGGACTAAAGCATGCCTTCCCCGGACAAGGCGTACATTACGCCATTAGTCCTGAGCAGCTGCCTGGCGGGGCGTGGGCCAGCGGACAGCGGGTCTGCCGTCAGCATCTAACGAGCCTTCTTCAGCCTGGTGGACTCCTCATATGATGCGTCCTAGCCCGTCCCCCCCCCCCTTTGCGACGGCTTTATCTCTGCCTTCGTACAATAGCGATTTAAATTCACTATCTGCGCAGTGTAACGTGTCCATCTGGTCAGATAGGTTGTTGGCGGCATAGTTTTCAGGCGCATTGTGCTTATGGTCTCGTTTGTAAAGTAAGACGCTTGCCGCGATAGCGAAGATCACGGCTCGCTACACCGTGGCAGTGACAACAGTGAACTGTATCCAATGCTGCTTATTACGCCCCGCGCCCTAGCGATAGAGGCAACAGTGAAAACACAGTAGGAGTTGGAGTTGTACGATGGTTGGTGTTGTACGATGGTGCCACCAGTTAGACACCGTATTTGACATGGTGCGAGCTAGGTGATGAGAGATAGGTGTTGCATCGTCAACATGCTAAATATGCTTAAATCCGACATCATCGGCCATGGCGCCTCTCAGGAGAGCCTAGATGGCGAAGAGGCTCATGGACCTATCGTCCATACGTTCGTCGCGCGCAGCTTTGCCTCGATGTCGACCGTCGACGGCCCAGGCCATTTTGGCCAACAAGGGTGATAATCGCTGTTCATTTACTTTCGCATCGATTGCATCTGAATGAGTCAGATGCTCTCCATGTTGTGCATGGATGCTACTCTCAGTGGAGAGGGCCAGTCGTGTCTGTGATTTCCATGACCTTAGCTTCTCCGTTCAGGCCCCAGAGATCGGGATCCAGGACCGGTTCTTAAAAAGGCTGCCATGACCTAGCATGCTGGCAAGGTGATCTATAAATGGTGCAGAGGTGCATACATGCGCCAACTCCGTGCAGTTGCTTTCAAGCCTTATTTGCTTCGGTTGTAGCGATCCGATGGTCAGACCCAGAAGGCATCAAAACAGGTGGATCGGCGGTGTGGTCCGCTGGAGCACGTGGAATGTATTCTGCCCGCAATCTCAATCAATGGTGCTGCTCTCGTCTTACAGCAACCTCGGGTTGTGACCGTGGCCTGATCAGACCCGTGGCGAGCCGGTCTTTTCCAATTCGCCAACTGTATGCCCCGTACATTGATGGACCACGAAACAAAAGCTTGGTGCTACTGCAGTGCTACAAGGAAACCACACCTAGTTAAACAGCTCACATATAAATGTATTTAACATTCCACAGTATATCTTCGTATCTTGTTAACCGCTGCAGGTAGGTTCGCACTATGGTGATTTCAGCACTTGTTTTGGTGCACCGCTCGGTCCTGGATGTGGGGCTCTGACGAGTGTCCCGGCGCGGTGTTACGTCCGTGGCGCCCGTTCTGGTGCGGCGCTGAGTCCCGGTCGTGTTCCCGTACTGGTGGTTGACTAGGTACGGTGTTGAGTCCCGGTCGTGTTCCCGTACTGGTGGTTGACTAGGTACGGTGTTGAGTCCCGGTCGTGTCCCCGTACTGGTGGTTGACTAGGTACGGTGTTGAGTCCCGGTCGGGTTCCCGTGCCGGTGGTTGACTGGACACGGCGTTGAGTCCCGGTCGTGTTCCCGTACTGGTGGTTGACTGGGCGCGGTGTCCGGCCGCGCGTTGTCCCCGCCCGGCCCGCCTGTCGCCGTCTCGGTCGTGGACCAGCCCCGGCTCGCAGCCAGCGCTAATCAACTGGAACATAACTGACGCGATCAGCCCGCAACTGGCGATATCGCTGCGTTTGTCATGGGAGAAACCGACCGCGCGGCCGGCCCGACGAAAATGGACTCTCATGCCGCCTGATCGATGGCCGGCTACGTAACGCAGTAATTAAATGATAATTGCCGCTGCGCCAGACGCGGCGCGACGCTCCGTTTGGCAACTGGTCCGGCTGAGATTCACACCGGGCCGGGCTGAGGCTCGCGACCCTCGCTGGCGGCGCCGCGCTGGGAACGCGGCGATCACATGCGAAGGCCGCGCTGTGGCAGTCTGCGCCGACTGAGCTATGGGGGAGCAGGGACGGAGCTGTGGTCATTGGCCACCGCTGTAGCAGTCTGCGCCGACTGAGCTATGGAGACGCGGGGATAGAGCTGTGGTCATTGGCCACTGCTGTAGCAGTCTGCACCGACTAAGCAGAGGCGCGGGGACGGGGCTGTGGTTATTGGCCGATGCTGTGGCAGTCTGCGCCGATCGAGCTATGGAGCCGCGGGGCTGGACTCGGGTCATTGGCTACACTAGAACGCAATGACGCGTTTCCTGAAACCACTGATACATGTTGGCGCGTAAGGGCTGCGCTAGCCTTGAGTTCGGCACTCGCCACTGAAATATGGCAATAGCTGGTGCGATGACGGTTCGGGTGTCCCGCAATACTCGGAGTTGGACAGAAGCCGCTGGGCCACAGTGAGCGGCTGAAACAGCCGTGGTCCTGACCTGAGCGGCTGGACTAGCCATGATTCGCGGTTATTTGGCGATGCATGCAACTGAAATGGCCGTTTATGACACAGTTTGTCACGCAATATTTAGTGGGAGATACCGAGCCACACTCGGCGGAGGTTCTCGAACCACCAACCCTGTCATTATCACACAAATCGTCCGCCACTTAACTGCAGAGCCACTCTCAGGCTGGCTGTTCATGGCCAGCACTGTGCGCCGGCTTCACTGGCGCTGGTGCTGGCGCTGGTCGGGACCAGATCAGCGGATCGGTGGCCTCCGGTCGGGCCTGAGCGTGCATCAGCCGCAGCCCGCGCCCGTCACCCACCAACACCCACAACATGACGTGCCGCGGCGCGGCGCGGCGTTGCATGCCGCCGTAATTGCATTTTGATTCGAACGGAAAGCCGCGGCCGCTCCGGCGGAATGGAAATCACTCGGGCCCGATTCAGTTTCGGACAACAATGCGCCCATTATCCGGTGATGCTGTGCTGCCTGAAACGTGGGCGTGCTCGGTGACGGCCCGAAGGCTGCCGTCGCCCTCTGTGACGTCACTCAATTGTCAGTCAGCTGACTAATGATGGCAGGCGGGACGAGCGGGGCCCGCCCGCGCCCCCGCTCGCCCCGCGTGAAAACTTAATCGATTCGGCGGAATAAATCCCGCCCGATTGTCTGTGCCCGGCTGCAAGATGACGGGGCATTTCCGCTGAATGCAGCTGCAACTGTTTTGTTGTCGCGCCGGGCCGGTGGACGCGATCGATGCCGAGCGCGCTCGAGTCGGTCTCGAGTCGGCTCAGCTGGCGCCGCGGACGTCTCGGCGCGTCTCCCACGGAGACCAGGCTCAGGCCCGGCCAGCGCCAGCGGCTAAATTGCCCACTTGCTTTAGGCAGAGGCGCGCACGGCCCGCGCTGAAAACACCAAAAGCTGCAAATCATTTTGACGGCGTGATGAATAATACGGGATCAGTTTGATTAATGTCGCGGCGTTAACGCCGGCCACAATGGCGCTGGGTGTAAATCGTCGACGGCGGCCGAATCGCACCCATCGCCAGCTTTTATGCCCGGTGTACATGAATACGCACTATACGGGTTCGTAACTGTATTCAGATGGCCGTGATAGTCCGGAAAAAAAACGCCCGTCCGGCACCACTAGCGTGCTGACTCGCGGGAAGGGGTAGGGGAGGGAGGCGGCGACGGACCACCCAACATGGGCCAAATTGTCCTAGAAACGGGTAGTGTTTGCGCAATGGAGAGCCCTAGCGGGGATGTTGATATGAAGAATAAACATGGGTGCTGTGGTGATGAGAATTCCTGGGCTAGACAGGCGTGATGGACATTTATAAGGACATTTTGAAATGTCATACGCATTCATCGTTACTGGCATATTGGTTTCGTTGTCAATTTGCCTTGATGATCTCATGATGTGACCTTCCATCTGCGATTTTGTCCAGATGGTTTGCTCAGAGTAAAAGATTGTTTCGGGTGCAAAGGTCGTGTTCAGCAACCAAACACATCAAGGTGACAAAATCAAATCAGACATTAGTCTGGGGACCATATAGCCTTGACCAGTAGCTCACTTTGCCGCGTACTCAGGCTTCAAAAACCTGTCGACGCGTGGCAAGCATGGCGGCCTTCACTTCTTGGCACGTGGGTAGACGTCATTGATACCAAGCATGCAGTGATTCACTCGTATTTGAAATAATCATCGTCACATTTTCATCACATTCTTTTCCAGCAAGCAAATAACTGTTCCGAAAAACACTTTCTCCAACACTGTTAGTAAAACATTCCATGATGCTGGTTCCTCACCACTCGTCAGAATGCAGTAGTGCTAGCATATGTGAAGTACAACGGGTAACCTCCACTTCACCCTGCCTTCGTGTACAAGACATCTGCTATGCTGGCCTTTACCAAAAAACGTCGCGATCATTTCCAAGCACTCCATTATTTGCCAAATGGCGCCACGTCTTCTGCATTGCTCTGTCATCTGAAGTTTTTTTGTTTTGGTGACGTGAATAAAAACAGCACAAATTATCCAATGCTACAGCATTTAGGGGCCTAGATCACGACCGAGTGACCGCAAAAAAGCTGTTTTCACCTTTTAAGTTTGTGACTGGAGCGCATATAGGTGCACATGGTTCCTCATTTCGAGAAGATGCTGGTGATTACTGACTGCCATCGCTTCGTACCACATATTGGCATGCTATGAAGAGACTCTACCGGGTAAAAGGTAGGAAGTGGTTTGAATACAATTTTACGTCCTGAAGTGGTGCGCTTGCTGCAAGGAACCCCGAAAAAAATAACGATTCCCTGAATAGCGAGCCACTCAGGTTAGTAATAAGCGTGCCGAGGACATTATATATATATATATATATATATATATATATATATATATATATATATATGAGCGCAATCGTCCGGGAAAGGACCTCACGGAAGTTCTACAGTGGACAAAGGTCGCCTTACTTGTAGAGGCCAAAAAAAAAAAAACGGATAGCGGTGCTCCTGCGATCGTGGGGACTCCTGAGCTTCCCGAAAGAAAGCGATTGTCAGAGGTCATGATATTGTCTAATGATAATGAGCCAAGTGTGTGGTAAACACCGCGAACCACTGCCGGAGGCTAGGGTGGAGCAATGTTTGTCTCTTCGCCTCCTGCATGTATAGACAAGAACTGGTTGGGAATAGGTCTTCTCGGTCAGCTCTTCATAAGAAGGCAGTCATAAAGGGGCTGAAACGCAGCACGTGCTTTTATGTGGATAGAAAACACGATCCCAGTGGCGACGGTAGTAGTCCAGGCGGGCATAGATGTAAGAGGCGTGTAGCATGCACACGTAACTGCCACGAAAACGAAGGTCATATTGTGTTTGTGGTTAGATTGATAGTAGATAACTACAATAAGCATAAGAACGGATAGTTTCCTATCCATTTGCCGTATTTGTGATTTGGAGAATTTTCCGGGGGCGGGAGCCTCTTTCAATAAGACCCAACTTGTAGGGATCCATGACCCGTAAAAGCACTTAACACTCGCAAAGCGGAGATTTTTGCACTTGCCATTAGAACGGGAGGGTTTCTGAAGCCTCTCCACAAAGACCCTGAAAGCTAAGCAAGCTAGAGCCACACGGAAAACGGCACTGGAAGGCTCAAGTCTGATGTAGTTTGACCTGTCAAAGCGGTCAAACTCGCACCACGCAGACCCGCCATTTTAACCTACGAACTAAGTATGATAAGCCAGTGCAAAAGATGGGGTGAATAGCTCTTGGAAAACTCCATCAAACAGGCACTAATGGACCTCGACATTTGACCTGTCATGTCATGTCAGGTCAAAGGTGAGGACTATTTTTGCATTATCCCGTGCGGCTATATCAAGAATGTGCAAGCCACATCAAGGGGGGGAACATGCTTAGAAAAGTCTTCCCAAGCCTAGAATAAGTGGCATTATGTTATAAATCGTATAATCCTCAGATGCTCAAATCTGGTCACAGCGGTCCAAGTTTGATGTGGCTTGACTCGGGGCGGTCTGACCTTGCAAAGGTCACCAGAACGATAGTAATGCACTTCAGGGTGATAAAGTCTGGAAAAGCGACCAAAAAGCAGTCTAGTACTGCTCTTTCAAATGCTACTTTACCAAAAATAAACTATATCTGCCGCTTTTGAACAAAACATCACTGACATGACCATGAGGAAGAGGTTTTAGATCTTGAGTCGTGGAGACCAAAGACGTCAAATTTTTCCTAGAAGTGTACAAACATTAACTCAAATGCCAAAAATTTCACCGCGTGCTAAAAGGCACTTGGAAGCTATTTTTGGAAAACCTTAAGGGTCTTTGATGCACTTTCCCTAGTATGGTGAACGTTTAAGCTATATTCATGCTATACATCTAGAATAAACTGCGCTCAAATGCTAGTTGATTATGCTTGAAGGGGAGACGTATAGTTCTCCAGCTAGCTTTCACCTACTGCAAAGACATGCTTGGAATTCTGCGCCGACATGTTTTCTCCGAATGCTTTTCATAACACTCGCTTGTGCAGTTCAGTGTGTTCCCCTCCGGTGTGTGACGCGCGCTCGAGCACCAATTGAGTGATGTTCTGACCCAGCGCTGCGCGTCGACGGCGTCTGAGCCGTCGTGCGCCGGCTGGAGACGCCGTCTGTAACGCGCCGGCCGGGGTTCCGTCGCTGGAGGTGCCGTCGCCGGGGGTGCCGTCGCCGGGGTTCTGTCGCCGGAGGTGTCGTCGCCGGGGGTGCCGTCGCCGGGGTTCTGTCGCCGGGGTTGCCGTCGCCGGGGGTTCCGTCGCCGGAGGTGCCGTCGCCGGGGTTGCCGTCGCCGGGGTTGCCGTCGCCGGGGTTGCCGTCGCCGGGGTTGCCGTCGCCGGGGTTCCGTCGCCGGAGGTGCCGTCGCCGGAGGTGCCGTCGTCGGAGGTGCCGTCGCCGAAGGTGCCGTCGCCGGAGGTGCCGTCGCCGGGGGTGCCGTCGCCGGGGTTGCCGTCGCCGGGGGTGCCGTCGCCGGAGGTGCCGTCGCGGGGGGTGCCGTCGCCGGAGGTGCCGTCGCCGGGGTTGCCGTCGCCGGGGGTGCCGTCGCCGGAGGTGCCGTCGCCGGGGGTGCCGTCGCCGGAGGTGCCGTCGCCGGAGGTGCCGTCGCCGGGGGTTCCGTCGCCGGAGGTGCCGTCGCCGGGGGTGCCGTCGCCGGGGGTTCCGTCGCCGGAGGTGCCGTCGCCGGAGGTGCCGTCGCCGGGGTTGCCGTCGCCGGGGGTGCCGTCGCCGGAGGTGCCGTCGCCGGGGTTGCCGTCGCCGGGGGTGCCGTCGCCGGAGGTGCCGTCGCCGGGGGTGCCGTCGCCGGAGGTGCCGTCGCCCGCCGTCTGGCCGTAACGCACCGCTGCGGGTGTTGCAGGACCAAGTGGAAGCGGCAGACGGCCGTCGGTCTGGAGCTGCTGAGCGAGGCCGGCAACTACGCGGCCGTGCAGCGGCTGTACGGCACGCCCTACTGGCCGTACGCGTCTGCCTCCAGTGAGTGCTCGACGCCGGCGCATAGCCGCGCTCCCCCGAGCCGGCGGCCGCCTCTCCGGCTGTCCGGCGTAGATCCCGAGGAACCGCCCGCCCCGCCCGGCCTCGCACGATGCTGCACCGCAGCTCACATCTCAGTGCGCTACCCATGTACTGGCCACGATGTCAAGCATTGTATCTGCTGCTCAGCGATGGGGGCGTTGCCAACGCAGGCGACGAGCCCCTAAACGCCTTTGTTCAAGCTGTCCGTGAGATCATGAGCTGACCTACAGTCAGTGACAAAGCAAATTACATCCTTGCGAATATATTGGCCCGAGTGCACCCGTAAGGATCACATCAAACCTATCTCTGAAGCACAGTCGTTGCTCCTTCACAGCAGCGAGAGTAAGTGTACAGCGTCCCCTCCGCCATCATACTTCTCCTCCGCACTGCATTCTGCTCCTGCGAGATCGCACCGACGCATGTATAAGCACCTCGCCACCCTCCGCGCGCGCTCCAGCACTCGGCGCGACGGCGCTTATCTCTGTTGTCCGACGTCCCACGGTTTTCTGGTGCAGACGCGGAGCCAGGCAGGCTGGAGAACGCGGCGGAGCCTCCAGCTACCCCTCACGATGCCTGGGTGCACGCCTGTTCACCATTCTGCGGTGGTCCCAATTTAGCCGCTCCAGCATTCAGCACGATTTGACACCACCTGCAGATGGACCGCCCGGCCACTTATGCATGCTCGCTGTCCCATGTAGCTGTTATGTCGATGCAATCGGATGATTTATGGCCATCTGACGCCGGGGACCGTCGCAGGGTGCGCCTGAGGCGCCGTCTCTGACACCCTCTGACACCGGCGTCACTCTGTGCGCAGATCTGGACTTCTACTATCGGCAGGCGGCGGCGGCGCTGGCGCAGCGCTCCGCGGCCGTGCCGCGCCTGCTGCTGCCGCCGGCGGCCGGCGCCGCGCCCGCGCTCGCCTCCTTCGGCGGCCTCCACTCGGCCGCGCACTACCTGACCGCCCTCTCCGGCAACAGCAAGCCGGGCGCCGAGCCCACGTGATCGCGCCGCCTCGGGTCGCCGGTGGGTCGTCAGGTCAGCCGGGGTCAGCCGGAGGTCGGCCGGGGTGGCAGCCGGCGTGACCCGATGACCTCGGGGTGGCGCGTGCACACCCCGTCCCGGGCGGCTAGAGACGGTCTCGACGGCTGTCTGGTTGCCCGTCGGTGATGCTGTCGGAGCTGAGAGACCTGCCGAAGGGCGGCTCCCGGCCCTGATTCCGCCAGAGGGGCCGTGGCCGACCCTGGGCCGTGTACCGGCGCCGGGCCGGCCAGCCGCGGCGTCAACGCTGTGATCGTGCCGCCGCGTGCTGTCGTGATTACGCAGCGCTTCGCGGGGTCGAGCGCCGGACCGTCACGACCCGGTGCGCCGGCGGTTTGACCCGGCTCGCTCCTGTGTCACGCAGGCACGCCGCCGCCGGAGGGGAACGCTGGCGGCCGAGGACCGCGTGCGTGCCGCGGAACATTGGTTGTTCGAGTGATGACGTGGGGCGAACGCAGTCTGCGTCAGTAAACCTGGTGATGACACGCCAGTTGTCAACTGGTGAAATGTTGGTTCCGTTTAATGTGTTGTGCTCTCGCGTCGAACAGTATTATACGCCCTTAGTTAATATGGGTGGGCTCCTATCGTAGCAATTATTTCTGCTGCATTGGAGTAAAGCATAATTGTTACGGAGCACGCTGATTTTTGTCACTTCCTTTTTCAGTGCGATTTTTGTGCGTTTGGCTAGTATTTGGTCTGCATTGTTTTGTCCTCCGGTTGTTTATTACTGAACGTCAATCGATGGACGTTAATCGATGATCAATAACGTTAATCGGTCGTTAATCCTTCGAATATATAACAGCCGATCGTTTATCGATCGCATGCATTGCAAAGTTCAATTAAAATATTTCCCTTACTAAGGCGCATGATGAATGAGTGGCATTGCTGTTATCTATGTGGGTTGAGAGCGGAGATTCCACGCTGTTTTGCTTTGTGCTAGTAGCACTGTTTCAGGATGATTCATCCTTTAATACAGCCATCACTTGTGAGTGTGTGTTTTTCAGGGCAGACAGCAAACAGGTGGGAATGGTTATGGCGCTGTTGAGTGCAATACGCTCGAGTAAATGTATATTTAGCGACTTTTTGAAAACATGCAGCTTGGGAGCAAAAAAAAACATCATAATGCGCTAACTAACCTTATCAATTTAATTGTCCCAGTTAGCGTCATGCCAAGCAAACGGAAGCAGAGGATCCACTACGTGATATGCGTCTTTTTTTCTTTTTTTAGAGTTGACTGAAATGCCTACCTTCACCTTCAATGCTATTATTAAGTCTCCTCCAGATTCCCACACGGTTATTACCAACAATTAAAACTCCTCATTGCCTGCGTTGCTTCCCGATCTACGAGTAAATCAAATATTGCAGTATTGGCGCGGGCCTTGAGCATGGTTCCTCCTCCTCATCAGTGATCCTGATCTGTGAAGCAATCGCCTTTTCATTTGACGATACCCGGCATTGGTGAAAAGCTGCACTCAGGTGTTCCTTATTATTTCTCGATTATCCTTTCGCGGTGTCTAAATAGTTGCCCAATAATTGTAAGAAATGACGAGCATGCACCTCATTGGTGGCTGTGATTGACGATCCGCTACGAATTGGCCAGCTTTTCTGATCGGCGGCTTGTCAATTTCTATTGAAATCAAACATGCTTAGAGCTTAGGCTACCAGAGAATTTTTACGCACAAACATGTAAAAATGCGCTGCATCCTGAATTTCTGTGACAATGTTTCGTTTGTTCGTTTTTTTTTTTTTTTTGCTAGCCATTTGCTTTTCACAATTTCTGGCTCTAACTCGCACAAAGAGAGGGTTACCAAACGTCAGGGCGTATCACGTCCGGCTCGCACCAAGCCGAAACCAAAAGTTTTCTGAATTATTTCAAATGAAAAAGCATCATACAAACAGAAATATAAATGCTATAAAATGCAGGACAATTTGTAGCAGTCACCTACGTAAGTTCGTGACACGTAGGGTACATCATTGCTATATTTTCGATGGCTTCTATATTTTCTGGTATCTTCCCTGGAAACGACAGAAAGGCTTATGGAAGGATTATGCAAACATTATATAAGAGTGTTATAAGCAAGAAAATATTGAACTCCTGATTTTTCGACACGACCAGTGTAGAGTACCTGTGATGACAGTTTTCAGTTCTTCCTTATACCATGATTTACTGACTGGGTGACGTTATCAAAATATTGCATCAGGTTAGCCGTTTTCACGATGGACTTTTGATTCAAAACTAAACAGTTATTTAAAAGTTTTAGCGTCTTTTTTGTACTGGCACAAATTTTAGCAGTGATTTTAGGCTACCAGTGTCATGCTGAGGTTTGAAAAAGACATCTTCGTACAAACGCATGTTTTTATAAAACTGCGGCCGGCAGGCTATTAACAAGAAAATAATTATTCGTGTTCCTGTTTATGGCTACGCAGTGCTTGTAGGGAGAACATATCTAAGGATAACCCACGGTTAGTGATGCTTGAATTGAATTATTCTCGAAGCCCGCCTGGCCTCATTCATGTATGATGTAAGCAATAATGGCGCAGTCAACGTCAAACGCCCTGCACCAATCCACCTAAATGATCATCAGATCTGGTATTCTCTGAGAATTTGAGCCAAAGGCATGAACTGAAGAAATGAATATTTATAAAGAGTCTCGTTTCATGTTTTGTATATCAGGCTAGCACGTGCTTGGAAAAGCGTGGCTTAACCGCTGCATGCTAATGAAATTGCCTGGAAACAATAATTTCCTTGTAAGGGAGCACAGCACATGCTAAAACTTTATGGAAACAGCTTTAAAAACTTTTCAGCGCACTTATCCACCGTGAAAAGGGCTATTTTCAAAACTCCACGTTTAAGGTTAAAAGAAATTCACATTTTGCGAATTAAGATATTTCAATCCCGACAATCAATGCATGGAACTCGTACAGATACTGTAATACAAAATAACTCTGAACAGGCCATCATTCGAGCTCCCCCATTCCAACATCCGACACATGGTACCTCGACAGAAGCTTTCAGCCGGAGGTTAAGCCTGTGTTTCGGGCAGCCCCACAAGAGAACCGAGAGCTGGGTGCTTGGTCTAGGAGCCTGAACAAGCAACATGCTGGTGATGTTCGCGTGATGTTCGTCATATCTGTCGTTCGAGATAAGTAATTTTCTAACGTTCTACATGGTATCGGCCATTGTATGATTTCGGCTCAGCCGCCTGTGTTTTGTGCGATTCTTGGCGTACATATGACCCTGTATCAGATGTAGGATCTGGTAGCTCGAGAAATTGCCTACTCTGGCATATCCTTGCTAACAATTCCCTGACAGATTCAATACATGTTCTGGGATTATACGTATTGACCATTAAAATGTTTATCCGTAACAATCAGCAAAGCTTGAAACGCCCAGCTTTGATATAAAAAACAAAATTTCCCGTGATAACATCGCGTAACTTCTTCTAGTCCCCGCAGTTCTAGTCCCTGAAGAACTGCCCGCCGCGTTCGGTCGAGTCCACAGGATGAGTGTCCGCCACAAACCTGTGGACATGCGGGCACCTCTGTGTGTTGTTAAGGTGGATTCGACACTTGCCAGCTGATCGTAAAGCGAGGGTCCCTGGGATAACGTACTAGAGACCGAAGTCAGGATGAGTGAGGGGCTTCCGCAGGGCGGGTTCTATCATGTTTTGCTCCCTTAATTTTCTTTTTCTAACCATCACCCAATAGAAGACAAGCAGGAACGCTCCTTTCACTATCCCAGAGCGCAAAGAACCGTACGTTACCACCAAAGAGCATAATGAACAAGCCGCCGCACTCTCTGCTGAGCGGTGGGAATGTGCTTAAAACAACTTGAAAAGCTCAGCAACAGAATCCGTGTTAGACGTTTATGCATAACGCAACAGGGGGTTGAAAGCAGTCATTGCTGTAGCCAGCTATAACTAACCCCTACACCATGTCAGGAGGTCCGCTCGCGTTCGTCATGTTTATAGCCCACACGCACACACGGGTCGAAGGGACTGGGCTCAGCTGTCTATGTTCTTTCCTGGGTATTTTTCTGCCTCCAATGAGTCCACCCAGCTAGGTGGAGCTCGTTGCTGGGTTTGCGCTGTTCTGGGTTGTCTATTACAACGACCTCGCCCTGATGCTGTGTCGTCGCCGAGTCCGGCTAGGTATGTACGCACAAAACATGGCCATTTACCCGGACGGTGGAAATGTAGAGACCATAGTGCTCAAGGTACAACCCGATGTTGGTACAAGCCGATGTTGGTGAGGTGCTGGAGTGGGTCAAACCAAGGTCAACGGAAGTCAGCAAAGACAAGATCAAGATCGCACTGTGCACGTGGAACGCACGCAAAGTAAAAAGCATAGTGTTCTCATGTGCCTGAGTCACAAAGCGGTGGAGCAGATCGGTAGCCTATTCATGCTTGGTGTCACTTCGACTCATATTTGACCTTTTCATCGCACGTCGAACAGCTGGAGACCATGATAGTGAAACGGCTCCAGATGGTAAACCCCTTGGTCGGCCATACGGCGGACTGCAGTGCACCTGTCCTCCGTAGGAAGTAAGTGCAATTCATCCAGCAAGTGGCATTGACAACAATGCCACACCCGTACAGTTTATCAGCCAGGCAAGCAGAGACAAGGCGACCAATTTGCCGTCACGGGTGTGCAAAGCATTGTAGGCTGCTCCGTTGGCACCAGGGGGAGAACCGCACTTGCCGAAGCAAACGTTAGGAGTATCTTTCCCTAACCGAGCAACGAGGGACGACGCTACGGGGGAGGGTCTCGCGCCTCCCACCGCGGGTCTTATCCTGCCTTCCGGCCGACAGGTAGACGCAACGCAGCCTCCGGAACAGGAAGAGTAGCAAGCCGATCAGCTGTCTCCCATTCAAAGGGGCTTCAATGCCCCAGCGTCCTCTCTGGCAGCGCACCGGAAAGGGCACGATCGTGTTCGACACGTCGGCCAGGGGAATAAGAGACGGTAGACTCTTTGATTGACGACTCAGCTGTGCCTGCAGCGGACAGAATTTAATTTACCGATGGCTCTCCCGAGTACGGGTTTGATACGGGTTATGGTGACGTCATGAGAGGAGAACGACACAAAATAAATTTCGCTTGGAGCTAACCCGGCGATGGGTGGACAGGCTCATACCGATGAGAACGGGGGTACCTTAGAACAGGTCCTAATGGCCTCTCAGAACACCAGCGAGTCCTCAAATGATTTCGAGACTAGCAGGCTATGCAAGGACTCACTCTCTGTGTCCAACTCAACAGAGGCGCGAGGAACAATGGCCTGAAAACCATCCCGAAAATATGATCATCCATGACCAGCCTGAGCCGGGATAAGACGAACGTGAAGTCGTCTGGAAATGGGCCATGCGAAAATGGGGAACAACGAGGGGGCGGATGTAGCAGCTAATGAGGTCAGCAAGCTACCCCAGGAAACTGTAGGCGTCG